ACCATCACCAGCAAATCATCGATCTCGTCGTCGTCTGCCTTAATTCTGCCATTGGTAGTTCCTCAAAACTGCTGCGGACTTGTTGTAGTTGTAGTAGTAGTAGTAGTAGTAGTAGTAGTTGTAGTTGTAGTTGTTGTTGTTGTTGTTGTTGTTGTAGTAGTCGCAACTAGTAGCAACTAGTAGCAACATAGTAGCAGTAGTAGCAGTAGTAGCAGTAGTAGCAGTAGTAGCAGTAGTAGCAGACCACCACCACCGCCCCCACCCCCACCCCCACCCCCACCACCACCACCGCCGCCGCCGCCGCCACCACCACCACCACCACCTCCTCTTCACTTTACTCTTGCTAATCTGTCATGTACGGCCTCTTGTGTTTTGTCGATTTTTTTTATTGATCCGAGCTACAGTTTCCTTTGTTTGGTCAAGCCTTTTGATGCCTGTTTGACGCATCGCCGCAAAACCCTAGACACTAAACCTGTTACTGGTGGTCCCTTCAATCAGGCAAGGAGCTTCCACCCAAAAGATCCGAGCCCTAGAACCTAACTACTTGCGCCCTGCATATGGGAATTTCTCAGAACAATCCACAAATAAGGACCCCCATAATCCCTACATACCCCCTGGGTCGCCAGGGATGTGCCCTGAACTCCCAGTTGACCCTAGGCCCCGAACCCAAAAATCGTTTCGTAAGCTAAATCCAAAAACCCTAAAAATCCTAAACTCTAAGCCTTCTCGGAAACCCAGGAGTTGCAGACGCTTCTCATGGAATTGACAGCCACGGGCCGCCAGGCAGGGTATTTTGCGTCGGAGGTTGAGGTTCTAGGGTTTAGGGTTTCAGGGTTGTAAGGTTTTAGGGTTCAACCATTTTGCCAAAGGGGGCCTTGATGATGATGATGATGATGATGATGATCCAGAGATATCCCCGAACCCAATATAATCCTCACGAATTGGTTATGCCCTATATCATCCTTGCATACCCTTTAAAGGGCAGGAGGAGGTTGGCGAGGGTTTGGGGGTTGAGCGCTGTGATTTTCTGGTTGAACCATTTTTTACGCCCTAGACCGTGCGGTGCGTTGGCGCTTGCTTGCCTGTGCTGTTTAATTCATACGGGTTTACTGGAGGACTCCTGGCAATGCTTTGCAATGGAGCGCTTGTCCAAGAGCAGTGGCCAGAAAAGCACTTTATTCCCTAGAAGCTTCCCAACTCCAAATCCAAGAAACGTCATTCTACCCTAAACAGCCCTTCCTCCTTGATCAGGCGTTGGCACCCAGATTACCTGGGACAGCTGAGAAGCACTTGGAGTCCGATGTTTCTGTTCTTGAGGGGGATGCGACCTAGGCTTTGAGTTTAGGAGCAAGTTTTACCCAAACCTACACCAGGAGCTGGACAGGATAATTACGTCTTCATGTCTTCCATTCTTCAGGTGCTTTGAACAGGCACTTATCAGAATTCGGCTTTCCATATGCTGCGTAGCATATTCCTGACCCAATTACAATGCACCATAGTCGGCCGACTTTCCAGAGAAGGATTTGCGGTATGGTATGCCTTATGGGACCCTTGATCCCTCCACCCTGGCTTCTCAAGCTGCCAACTGCCTCAGGTTTCAATTCTCCTCGAGCTTTGCAACTGGTTGGGCTTGGTGCCTCAGGTAGCAACAGATATGCTACTATTTCACAGGCGTTTCCATGCTTTTGCACGATGGAGTTTACCCGGCTAACGAGTTATGAGCTTGAAACATTTGTCAGTGTCTAAAGTTTTTGCCCGTCTCCCCATTTCCACATCCCATAAGCAAACAGGTACAAGAGCGGCAAATAGGGGCCTTTGACATGCCCCTTTCAACTTTTTTTGAGGCTTTATGACTGCAACTCGCAGGAGATTTGCGATCCCCCGATTTGATCAAACGATACCCTGCCTAAATACCTTAAACCCAAAATAACCTAAACCCAAAACACGCTCAAAACCCTAAAGCCCTTAAACCCTAAACATCTATAAACCCTAGATCCCTTAAACCCTAAACCCTAAAGCCCTTAAACACTAAACCCTAAAGCCCCTAAACCGTCAACCCTAGACCCTAAACACTCCAAGATTTCCTCCCCAGCGGCCTCGCAACCCAGGCGCAGCCTGTCATCTATGGCAGGGACTGGGGTGCAGTAACTGGGTTGCTGCCAAGGAACTTAATTCAAGTTTCCATAGTATGGGTGTAAGGGTATAAGGCTTAGGGCTACCACCACATGGGTATATAGTAAATAACAAGTCTTCCTTATGTTTGCAGCTTGATTCAAGTTCCTTTAAAGCAAACCAGGTAAGGGCGATCAGGTATAAAATCGCACATCCCAAGCGGGCTGGCAATTTGATCCTTGAGAACAAGGCGAACAAGATGAACGAGGGGCAGTATAAGGACCTGGCTTGTAAGAATTTGGAGATTCCCCTAAGGTTGTCCTTGTCACAAAGTCTTTGGTGTGATAAGCTTTGCGATGCGTTTTTTTTGGCAGACAGGAGAGGATCAAGAAAGACCCAGGCTTTGCCCTGCAAGAGTATATGGGTGCCTGGACCTGGATGTATGATGGCACATTCCCCAAGAGCTTGGATGGGACCTCTGTAGGCAAGAACATGAAGGGCTTCAAAGGCAAAGCAGTCCTTCTGTGGCCTTATCATGCGAAAGGCAAACATGACCCTGCTGGAAAGTGGGCAGGCGCCAAATGTGCGGAGGCGTATGCAAAAGCTCTCAAGACAAAGCCCATAGACTCCTACACCATGACAGATGGAGACGTTGCTGCAAAGATTTTGGCGTGCTCCACGTGAGACTGCAGCGCCCGGATGCGTATGGGACCCCGGCAGCGGGCCTTGGCGAGAAGGTGTAGTTGCTGTGGTGAGAAGCATTGGAAAGCACATCGATCGTCGACTGAGTCATCCTCATCATCATGCACGCTGAAGGGGTGGTTCTCATGCGGTGCAATTTGCTTTGATCGGGGAGTTCCTCAACATGGCCTTCACTTTGCTGAGACATTGCCATGTAGAAGTGTGCGGCTTCAACAGCCCTTGCCGCGTCAAGATTGTTTGACCGTTGAGGCTGGGCACAAAATCAGTGGCCGGTTCTCAGGGGTGTGGGCGTCTGTGGGAGACATTGTTCTGAAATTGGTGAAGACACCATAGATGCTTGAGAATCTGCATCCCAGATTGCAGAATTTAGCCTGGTTGTTCAAGGCACAGATCGCCAGGGAGCTCGTGCAGCTACTGCAGCATGCGCCGACATTCATCTAGAAGTCAAATGCTGCTTGTCATGTATGGAAATAGTAGGCAAGAACGTTCTCAGCCATCAATGTTTCGGTCATGTTTGATGGGCTGTCGGTTGCTTCGCGTTAAGTCTGTTTGGAGAATGGCAAGCTCCCACAGCATGTAAGGTATGGATTTCGCCCCTCTTGGCTGTAGTTTAACAGCAGGATACAGTAGGACTGTATCTCGATTTGGAACACCAGGAATGCAAGCAAATTGTTGTCAAGAGGCTCAGCTGTATCTGCACGCGCCAAGTTTTTGGAGCTCAAGTCGCCTTTAGAAGTTGAGCCCTGGAGGTGCCAAACGAGGCCAGCAGAGGTCATGGAGTGGTTGACATCCAGCAGCTGTGAGCTGACCTTGGACAACACCACAGCCCCAGAGGGTCCCCTGGGCCTGGATGACAGGGCCATGGGGTTTGGTGGGTTCATGGGAGCCTGCCTCGGTCTGCTGCTACTGGTGGCAGTGGCAGCTGCCTGGCGAGCAGGAGGCATCAACGCGTTGCTAGTGCCCAAACGCAAGGAACGGCTTGCGCCGATAAGCCTTCCGCCCGGCATGGGCTTTACAGCGCCAGAACAGCTGGGCTCCGCTAACACCACCTTTACCGATGCCGAACTGCTGGAAATGGTGCTGCAGCGACAAGAGCAAGCAAAAACCGACAATCCGGCTTCTGGGTTGCTGCTAAGGAACTTAGTTCAAGTTACCGTATTATTGGTGTATAGTAAAAAGCAGGGTCTTCTTATGATAGTCATTTGATTTTAGTTCTGACCAACAGTCCAGACTTTCGCACAAAGACGCGATCTGACACTTGCGGCTCTCTTTGTTACCTACATCGTGACCTGCCTTGCTGTGCCTGTGGCTTTCTACGACAAGCTGGATTGTGAAGAAGGACTGTGGCGCGTGGTAGTAGTAGCAGTACTGAGGGTAGCCGTACTATCAACAGTAGAAATACTGGAGCAAATCTTCTTATAGGAAAGTATTACGAATACAAATACTCATAGGAAGATTCATAGTAATACCAATAGTGATAGTACAAGTGCTGGTAATAGCAGGTGGGCGGTCCTTTGAGACAAGCACCATCACCCATTCTTATTGTAGCGCCGTTGATTGTTATGGTGGTTTTCAGGACAAACTTCCATCTGTATTGCGCGCAAGGACTCCCGTGGGAGATCCACTTCATTTTCCTAAGCGTGTTTCTGCTGACCAAAGGCTGCGAACTCTATTTCTACCGGACAGACCCAGGTCTGTCCGGACCTCTGCCGGTGTTCACTCCTGGGAGGCCCCATGTTAAATAAAGCTTCAACCCTCAAGCTCTACAGAACTTTTCCTTGCAAGCCTCTGGAAGGGCGGGTTTCCCTCTGATGTGTGGTTTTTTAAAAATCATCCGCTAAATGATTCCTAGACTCTGGATCCCCCCTCCCGGAAACCGCTTCAGCCTCTTTGGCATCACTGGTGGCTTCGCCTTCAAGTTCACGATGTCCTTCATGGCCTACTTTGATGGCTACCAGGACAGTTTCCAGTCTTTGTCTGCTTTTTCTGGAAGGGTCCAGAAAGGTAAGGTGAAATCCGACGTTGAGTGGAGAGTGGAAACGTTTAACTCACTTTGCAGGATGCGCTCGCCACCGCGACCGCTTTTCGCTGCGAACACCCAGTGTCTCAAGAGCTGGCTCCATATATGATGGGCTATTTCATGATCGGCGTTGTGGCACTGCAATGGGGCTTTGTGGCTTACTTAGCGTTGCAGGACCAGGGCATGTCAAATTGCCTACTGGTATAGATGCTCCTCCCGCTGGGAGTCTGCTAACTAGTAGCATGGCCGCAGCACTGCTGCAAATGCGGTGGCAATGGCTGCTGCTACAGTTTATTGCTTTGGGTTTGATTTTCTACCACTAGCCTGGTACTATTGCCATTACTGCCACTACCGCTACTATTGCTACTTGCTACCACTATCACCCCCAACCAAACTGCCAGGGGAGAAACAGAGGACAAGTCCAGCCGAATGCCCGGGCTTCAAGTACACGACGTGCACGGTGCCTCTGTCCCATGAGTGCTGACCTTGCTAGGAAATGCAAAGGGTTCAGGATAAAAAGGGTAAAAAGGGTCACAAACACAAGCAGTCGCCGACCGCAACTGCCTGCTGGACAAGGCTGAACATGCTGACAGGGCCAGCAGTAGGTGACCACAATACCTCGCCAAGACATGGGGTCTCGAGCCCATATGCAGACATCTGACACATAGCACGCATACAGACACGCCTCATACGAAGTTTCCCCTTAGCTTGTCGCATTCCAGGACCCGCCACGATGCTGCCTGACATGTGGAGTTTCCCCTTAGCTTGCCGCATCCAGACCCCACGCGACTCGCGGACGCATGCGGACGCGGGCGGACGCTGAGAGAACGCGTTCAAACGAGAGCCCTTCTGCTGTGCATTTGAGGAAAAGCTTGTCAAACAGCAGCTTTCCTCCTGCTGCCATTGCTGCTGCTGCTGCTGCTGCTGCTGCTGCTAGTAATGCTATTCTATTCTTTGTCCATTGCTGCTGCAACTGTGGCTTCTAATCCTCCTTCTCATTTGCATCGTGCCCGCGCTTCTGCACGGACTTGACAAGCTTTTCGCCGGGAAACGGTGATTAGGTGGAACATTGATTTTCAGGACCCAACGAGGGGCTGTGCCTACAAGCTGTTACACATGGAGACGGTCTGCGCGCGGCTGACGTTGCCCCCTTCGCACAAGAAGACCTGGGTACTGATCCAGGCGGCGCGCACAGTAGGCGGGTATCCATCAAAGTGGGTTGCTTTCGGAGCCCTAATAACTGGAGGAGCTTCATGTTCAGAGCCCCAAGAAGTGAAGCCTGCAGGAGAAGACATCCCGCAGAGCTTGACCCAGGGCCTCTTTGTTTATTTGGTCAAGGGCAAGCCCTTCATGATCCTCTCCATCTGCTGTTCCGTGGGAAGCTCTCTGATGGCCGCAAAGGATGCCCTAACGCGGCGTTTGCTGGCTTCCGGAGATGTCCAGAAGCAAGCCCTCTTGCAAGCAGCCGATGAGCATGTGGGAGCAGTCCAAACTTTACACCCCCCCTTGCGGTGTCCACAAACGCCCTATCAACCTTCCTAGGAAATCTTGGAGCAAACATTACATATGCACTTGCGCTTTCTAAAGCCCTGTCTCCCACACCCCCAGAGTCTTGGAAAGCCCCCCCAGGTTCAGAGCTTCTACTGCTCCGTGAGTTTTGCTGACCAAATGGGCATCTCCAAGGTGATGTTGTTCGTCAAAACTTTTCATTTCCTCGCGTAGAGCTTAGACAGGGGGCATACAGGAAAGACTGCAAAGTGCAGAGACAAGTGGGCCCCTGAAGAAGTCCGTAATGCGCCGTATAGAATGCCCCCCCTGTAACGAGTTTAGACCCCAAACCCTAAACCCTGAACCTCAAACTCAACCCTAAACCCTAATCCCTACACCCTATACAATCCCTATAGCTCAGATGATGTGATTCCCCCAGGTGGTGGTGGTGACGAGGCCTGCCGTGGGTTGACGTGCCCCCCACGTGCCGGAGCCACCCTAAGCCCCAAGTACTGTAGCGGTTAGTCTGAAGGTTTAGTGTTTAGGATTCGGGTTCAGGGTTTAGGGCTTAGGTGTTAGGGTTTAGGTGTTGGGATCTAGGATTCAGGATTTAGGGTTTTGGAGTTGGGGTTTAGGGTTTAGGCGCTATAGGCCTTATGGCGAAGCACCGGGGCGGTGAATGTGAAACCAAAAGCCTGGCAGATACAGTCTTGTTGCTGACTGCAGTTGTTTGGGCTTCTATTGCCGAGCTGGTTTTGGCGATGTCGCCTTCAGTGTGTGGACCATACCCACGTCAAGAAAGCAGTGGTTGTTATGACTACTAGCACTTTGGCCGCTACCAGGTGTCTAGTGAGTCTAGTGATATGCCCGCCATGAAAATTAGTGCCAAGGTTTTGGCATTTCGTTGCACTTAATTAGCAAGCTACATACAAGATATTTTCCACCTGTTACGTGAGATGTCATTTGGAACTGCAAAGCCTTTCTGCTAACTGTTGAGCTGACAGTATTTGTCATACCTGATCCCGAAGTTCAAGTTCGGAACATGGTCAGGAATACATTCCATTTTCATTGGTTTTCCCAGCATCCCCCGCATTTCCGCGGAACTCTGGATGACATAAATCCTAAACCCTCAACCCTAAACCCTACCTGGAGGCGCTTCGGCTTAAGCTTCTTCGGCATGTGCATGGTTGCATGGTTTGCAAGGATGATT